CGAATGAAAATATTATGTGGTTTTCTAGAAGCAACTCGATAAAATTTTGGAAAACATGAAATGAAATTCAATATTATAATATATTTCAAATATATGTATTCTCTCTATCTAAATGGAATTTTGTATCTTTATAGTTTATTTAGAAATTGATGCTCCATAAATATTTAAATACTACTCTGTATGAATTTAGGACTTCATCGTAATTAATGATTATTCACTAATTGGACTCAATATATTGCAATTAATTGAGAAATCAATTTCATTTAGAAGGTTGTACTTTATTATTAAGTAAGTAGACAATAGAATTAGAGTCAACATGCTCTAACCTATGATGCATTGGTACTTCATCATGATGTTGTATGTGTGTATCCGATGTGTATTCTATATTGAACTATAGGTATCATGCCCATATCCATAATTTCATAAAAGTTGAGGATTTATTTCAAAAACGGAAAAGGGTCAGATCGGGCCTCGAACTTGCATAAAGAGATCAAATAAGGCCTTATAAATGAAGCTCTGTCCAGCCGTCACCATTTGGGACGGTTTTCCGGTGAAATTTTTTGATGAAAGTTTTTGAGCATATTATTCATTAAGTCTAGTTCACTCATACAAAATTTCAGCTAAAACTTCAATCGGGAAGACATTCAAATTAATTCTTGAAGATAACCACGCAATTAAAACCGCAGTTATCTTCAAGTATTAATTTGAATGCCTTCCCGATTGAAGTTTTAGCTGAAATTTGGTATGAGTGAACTAGACTTAATGAATAATATGCTCAAAAAATTCATCAAAAAATTCTACCGGAAACCGCCCCAAATGGCGACGGCCGGTCAGAGCTTCATTTATAAGGCCTTATTTGACCTTTTTATGTAAGTTCGAGGCCCTATCTGACCCGTTTCCCTTCAAAAAAAAACTTCTGATACGAGTATGTAAAATTTTGTATACATCGAATTTATTACATTAAAATTAATGTTTTTTGTAAACTTTTCCAATTCGTAACCCCAAATATTTCAAAAAGCACTATAAATATAGAAGATGCCCTATACAGTAGACTAATAATTCCATAGCATTCCGTACATGTATACAATTTAATAAATAAATACTACGTAGTTAACTACATGAACGTTAACTTAGATTTTCTACAAAACTGGGTGTAGGGGTGTTAATTATCCAAATATGTTATTTGATGTTAGGCAAAGTAGGTACACACTGTTCATTCATCTTTAAGATTTTTCAAGATTAAGATAAGATACAAAAAAATAACACGTACAAAATAGATTGTAGGAAAACCAACAAAATAAAAAATACATTTAAAAATAAACTTTGATCATAATGTTTACTGTTTTACATATACACTATCAATATTTTGCGGTTCTTTATTTTTTTCCTATAAACGAGTTAACATTTTAAACTCCCAATTATTCTGTATTACATAATTATTTTAACATTTGTTTGTACTTATATAGTTCTAAAATTTTAGAGCCTTTTGGTATGTCATATTTTCAGCTTATCAACCTTTTCGGTCAACCTTTTCGGACAACTTTTTCACCAAATTAAACATCTAACTTTTGATATCACGTGCTAAATTATATAATAACCAAAGTAAGGTTGTAATTAGCTATTTGGCTGACTTTGCTGGAGTTACCGTAGAGAACTATTTCAGTTTTATTAATTATTTCTAACCTTTTTATTTTATTAATAAAAATTATTTTAAACATTATTTTTCATAATTTGACATATTCAGCCGTTTCAGGATGTTTTTACTCGGACAGAATTTTTCTGGTCTGGTCTGGTATAAACTGCTCTGGTCTGATCTGGTAAAAGTCTGGTCTTTGTATATTTTATAACTATCCAAGGATGTTTTATTTTGAACTGAAATTTGTTGGTCTGGTATGGGTCTGGTCTGGTCTGATCTGATAAATGTTTTTCTTTTGTGCATTTTATAACTATGGAGTCTGATGTTGGAAGTTGGTATGATCTGGTCTGGTTTGGTCTGGGACTAAAAACAATCCAAAAGAAAACATCCCAAGTGTGGTTTGGTCTTGTCTGGTCTGATCTTATCTGATCTAGTTTGGGACTAAAATAAGTTCGAATAAAAATATCATAAAGTCAAAATTCTTTCAATTTCATCATCTGTGATCAACTTATATGTTACCAAAAAGGCTATTAAGAAAAGAGGTTTCAAATCCGCACGGGTAGCTCAGTTGATTTAGTGGTGGGAAATTTGGAACAATGATCAAGGTTCGAAGTCCGCAACGACCGTGTGGAGGTTACAGCTCCTGCGTGCTGCTCTGGACCTCTGGTGCACACGGGTATAAGGTTTACCATTACTGGGCTGACTGAGTCACCGTGACTTACATCTTCCCATAAATCCTGTCGGATCGGAGTGTAGGGGCTCCTCGAGTGGGAGATTCCACCTTTTGAAACAAGAAAAGAGGTGTCTGACTATTTGTCCTTTTATTTTCCAAATATCTAAATTGTGACTACAGACTATTTGTACCAAACAAGCAGAGCAGTCAGAGGTCTAAGTTCAAGTGGCGTTCAACTAGGGAAAATGTTTGTACTAGAGACAGAGCAATAACAACGTCTTGTATTTAATGTTTTAAACCAACCGATTAAAATTTGGGGAAAATAATAAAAATATCCTAAATTTTGAAGCAGTGTGAGGTAAATACATTAAACTTGCATATGTAATTTAAATACCCTAAACTTTAAATAAAAAGTAATTTTAGCACAATTTTCATGTATTATTTCTTTCAAAAATGTAAATTTATGGAGTTAATTGCATAATTTAAAATGGAAAATAAAAGTGTTGCAATTATATAGATTGGGGGTAACATTATTTATTTTCTAATGCAAGCTTAAAATGTTGATTGTGTCTTCATAAATTCTAAAATATTTTAAATTATGTCATTAGCGACATAAATTTTACATTTTTGAAAGAAATAATAGTTGTCATGATGCTATAATATTTTTTATATAAAACTTGGAGTATTTAAATTACATATGCAAGTTTGGATATTAATCTCACACAACTTCAAAGTTTAATGTATTTTAATTATTTTCCCTTTAAAATTTACATTATGGTGTATTTACATTATTACATTATGGAGATTTTTTTTATAACAAATGTGGGTCTCGCCATAGTCTTTCCGGGGAAATCCATACATAAATTAGGCACCATTTTGGAGCGTCAATGCCTCTCGCGTATCATGCTATGGCATGGCCGGCGGCGCTACCCGTCATCAATTCTTTCCAAAAATTCACTCGTGACCAACGCCGCTCAATACAATGCGTATATAACATGACTTTATTTACTATTGAGTTGACATTATTTAATTAATAGGTTATTCTATTAAATACTATGGGTATTGAGATGATATTATTTAATTATTATTCGCTTATACTCCATTAAATTTTTTAGGGTCACCTATCTCATAAATAAATAAAAATGGTATGATACAGGAAATCAAGGGTTTTCAACAAATTGAGTCAATTATCAAGAAAACTAGCTTGTGTTATCAAAAGTTTGGAATTTAATAAAAAGTTGATCTATATGTCAAAAAAGAGTTATCAATATGAGTGTTTTCACAAGAATTGAACTTTAATGTGTGTGATGGAGTATATGGGTCTAGGCCCCAGGACCCACATACTCAGAAGAACAGAAAACACAGCCACTACGCGGTGCCCTCGTCGGCCAAAGACCCTCGTCGGCCGAAGAAGGACCAACTCAGAACATGATCCTAAAGCCAGGGAACCAGGGTGTCCTCGTCGGCCGTGCCCTCATTGGCCGTGCCCTCGTCGGCCAAGACCCTCGTCCGCCACGGTAGTCTCACAGAACCGGATTTTACACTTATTCATTTGTATAGCCCACCAGTGGCTCTGTATTCGGTCCAATAGCGGTCCAGTTGTAAATGGGTCTCTCAAGCCCAAGGCTTGGGAGCCCAGCCCGTATTTTTCCTATAAATACTTCCTCTTGAGTTAGTTATAGGGGTTACAAAATCATTCTATTGAAGCATTACTTGCACTTCTCTCTCTAGCTCTCATCTCTCTCTAGATATATACTCTATCAGTGTGTTATACGAGTATTATTGAAAAGTGAGTTTATGTGCTTTAAATTGAACTAATAAAGTAAGAATAAAACAGAAATGTAATATTAACGGCTCACGAATGTCAAGTAGTGTTAATCGTATCAAAATTGCAAAATTACAAATTGAAATCGACCGCTCCATATACAAATTGTCCATACATGTCCTTATACGGAGTTGTATATTAATTAGATTCATATAATTTCAAAGAAAATTCATGTTTGTACACCTTCGTGACCAGGGGTGTACAAGCTTATGAACACTCATATTATTTGCCTTTCAAACAATTTATGTCACTTTTCAACTCTATCTGCCTTATGATATTGGCAAAATTTGAAGAAATAAACTATCGTTATCATTGGCATTTATTTGTCAATATTACACACAATTTATTTTAAAAATCGACATAATTTATCTATGACAAAGACAATTTGAACAGCTACATGAACATCCACGTTTTTACAAATGATATGATCCCAAATAGACTTCGAAGAAATTGCCTAGGAGTAAAAATAACAGAAAGTTTTCAAAATAGGAATATTGTAACGGGAGTAAATACTACGGAGCATGGAGTATATATCTTTATAAGAAAATACAGAAAATTGTAGTATTATTATCATATTAAAGTATATTGTTCATCGAAATATGAAAACAAAGAAAAGTACCATTAATTTACGTCATAAATAGTGTAAGAAAACAAATAAGTATTCCAAACTTTTTATGTCTAAAACATTTTGCAACTTTTTTAAAACAATGAATGCACGATTCTATTCATTTCTCTCTGCACAAACATCAATCGTACAATTTTTACTAATCTAATTTCCGTGTTATTTAGTTTGCTGGTATGATATGATATTATTATGTAAATACAGTATGGAATATTATAAAGACGGTATTAATATCTATAAAAGAAATACCCATCGCTATCTACATTTGGAAACAATGATCTTATAAAAGCGGCGAAATAAAACAAAAAAGAAAGAAACTACTGTACTAATATTCTTCTTCTCCGTTTGGGTTTGGCGGCAACAATGGCGATTTCTTCCCAGTTGCCAAGATTCCTTAGCGCGAGAACAAAAAAAACTAATCTTTATCTCATTTCCTCGACCGCCGTTCTCTGCTCTGTGTTCTATCTCGTCAGAATCTTCCAAAACGGCGGGTACCGCCGGTTATCCACCGGTGCGTTCCTCCCGTCAGTCAACTGTAATCTTCCGACCAAGAATTTAATCGGTAAGAATATATCTTCCGACGGCGAATTCCTTGACTTCCACACCCACCACGCGGCTGAAGAACTCGTGCCGCTCCTGCCGGCGGTGGAGGCTAAGAAATTCCCGCCGTGTAAGGCGGAGCTCTCCGAGTACACGCCGTGCGAGGACACGGAGCGGTCGTTACAATTTGACAGGGACATGCTAATATACAGAGAGAGGCACTGCCCGGAGAAGAACGAGTTGCTGAAGTGCAGGATCCCGGCGCCGTTCGGTTACAAGATTCCGGTTCGGTGGCCGGAGAGCCGTGACTCGGTGTGGTACGCCAACGTCCCACATAAGCACTTGACGGTCGAGAAGGCCGGCCAGAACTGGGTGCGGTTCAAGGAGGACCGGTTCATCTTCCCCGGTGGTGGGACCATGTTTCCACGTGGAGCTGACTCGTACATTGATGACATCGGCCACCTCATCAACCTCAAAGATGGGTCCATCCGGACGGCCATAGACACCGGCTGTGGGGTATGTATTCTATTCTATATTGCTTTTTTAAACTTTAATTTTTTTTCTTTTCTTTTTTCTTTTTTTTTTATTCCGGTGGGTCTGGGGCCTGGAGTATTCAGGTCTGAAACTCACTCCGTTGAGTTTCACATCCTTATCCTTATTTGTCACTAGGCACATAACCTCACAATCAGTTGGGTTGTAATGTTTGGTTTGCTTTTTTAAACTTTATTTAAGAGTAAAAAGTTAAATACATTCCTCTAAGAATAATACTCTCAACTAGTATATTAAAAGATTAAAAATATATAATACGTTTTTCTTTAATAAAAAGAGTAAAATGTGCTTATGATGGGATTTTTTATGAGTTTTTTTATGTTTGAAAATATTACTAAAATAATACTGCGTACTTATTTACAAAAATGTGACTAATAATGACTACACTACAATTTTATAGTCACAAGTGAAAAATTGAACATAAGTTAAATGAATAAATTATACTCAAATCACTAATCACATTTTTATACATATCATTTATTTTAATCATATATATACTCCGTCTGTAATTATTTCTTTTGTTATTACTTCATCGATCCATGTAGTATTAATTACCATCTTCCGTGTGCATTCTATACCTTTCCGATGTTTGGGAATTTAAAAAGAAAATAAGCTAATGCTTCTTAATTATATGATTAAACTAAAGCTGATATACAAAAATTAACCCTATATATTTTAAGAATATGTTTATGTTTAATTTACATTGACCATGACAGTATATTAAATATATTCATCATAATATAAGTTACGGAGTACATTTTTCAGTAAGTTTATTTCAAGTATATTTATGAGAAAATATCTGAATGTTGTATTAATAAATATTTTAAATTGAAGAACAGTATAATTGGTTAGTTCTACATTTGTCATATTGGGATTGTTGGGATTAAAATTCTTTTTCATTTTGTTTTCATCACCACATGACAAAAAATAAAATTGACCGTCAATTATTCCATTTTTGGATTTATATACTTACAATTATCAGAGAAGAATGGTACAGTTAGTTAAGTTATTAATTTGTTGGTGAGATGGGGACTTTTGATGCTATCTTGCATTATTAGAGATCATGGGTTTTGCAGTTACATCAAACAAAACGTCAAAATATAGAATCTGATTAATATAAAAAGGGTTGATATGGAAAGTTTAGACGTTAATATGGAATTATTTAATCCTTACATTTAATATGGAATGACGTTAATAATCTTAAATTGAATCATTTTTGTGTATTTCGTGCAATAATATCAATCGAAATACGCATTCAATTACTTAACATTATATTTCGTACATCTCAAAACGATCACATACTCATTTTCAATTCGTATGAGCTTTATAGTAACCAACAATAACACCATTTTCATTTTCTAAGAAAGTATAAACCTATCCGTAAAGTTAGTTTTTTTGGATTTATAGACCGTTTGGTAACACTGTTTTTCGGCTTATCAGTCTTACAAATCAACTTTTTCACCAAACACATAACTTTTGTTTTCGCGCTGAATTGTGTAATAATAAGAAAAAGTAAGGTTGAAGTTACTTTCCTGGCTGTATTGACTGGAGTTACTGCAGATGACCATTTTAGTTTTTTTTACATAGTATAATGTTTTTCTTTATTTTATTAATAAAATGTATTTTAAAAGCAATTGTTTCTTAAATCAGAAGAAAATCAGCCAATACAGTCACTTCAGTCAGAACTTCATAAATTTCACCAGAATAAGCCGAATCAGCCGATTTTCGTGATACCAAACGGACTCTTAAACCGTAAACAACAATCTACCTATTTCTCACGATGAGTCACAAATTCAAAGTGTTCCGAATGGATTTTGTGAATAAACGTTGAATACAAATTTTTATGCTTTTTGTATCAAAAGACTGTTCATGGATGAAGTGTTTGGTCACGGTTACAAACGTTTTGGAAAAGTTGAAATTAGTTGAATCGATCGATTGTGTTGAAATTTAAGAAGTTTTGGCTAAAGTGACTAGATAGACAAATTTTAATATATTATGAATAAATTAAATTTACAATATATTTTATTAATAAAATAATGAAAAACTTATATGAAAAAAATTAAATGATATTCTACCTGAACTTCAAACAATTCAACTAGAAAAGTAATTTCAACTTTATTTATTTTGATTATTACGCAATTCAGCGTACAAAATCAAAAGTTGCTTGTTTGGTGAAAAAGTTGTCAAAGTCAAAAACAGGTCACGAAATGGGCTATTAAACCTATAAATATCAGGTAATTGATAAAACTGAACATTATTTTGAAATAAAATTCATGTAAATACAGAGTCATACACCTTTTTAAAGATGTCTAGTAAGAAATAGAGAAGTTCTAAACTTGTCCTATAATCCGTAATAATAAAACTAGAATAATGGAGATTATTTAGAAAATTCGAAAAGCCATTGAAGAATTTTGGATACTATGTGCTTGGATAAACTGATAAAGTTATTTTAGTAGTGGATTACCATTCATACTAGAATGGTTTTGATATTGACGTTTCTTGAAAGAGTTGTGATTTTGACTTCAGGTGTGGTTTTTAACTTTTTGCTGTCATGTGTTTGATTAATTGCGATTTAATGTTCCTAATAGTGAAATTAGATCCATTGCAGGAATTTATGAACTTTCATCATTGAAGCATATTTTTTCTTTGCATAGTTCAAATTAAAGGAGGTTGACTTGAAGATGAAAGTTAGTTGAAAACAATCATCACATTAGTAATGCGATCCAAGGTTTTTGACTGCTTGGCCATCATGTTTAACAAATGGTTTTTTTCTTTTTCCTTTTTGGGGCAATTCAGGTTGCTAGTTGGGGAGCCTACTTACTGTCCAGAGACATCCTGCCTTTATCATTTGCACCTAAAGATACACATGAAGCTCAAGTGCAGTTTGCCTTAGAGAGGGGCATTCCTGCAACAATTGGTCTCTTAGCTTCCAAACGCCTGCCCTATCCTTCCCGAGCTTTCGACATGGCTCATTGTTCGCGATGTCTCATTCCTTGGGGCCAATATGGTAAATTCCAATTTAAACGTCCTTATCTTTTTTTAATATAAGCCAAGTGTTTTAAAAGTTACTAAGCTGTAGGTAGCCCGTAGCCTTAACCGCACCAACCAAAACTTAGATCAACCAAAACCTATATAACCATAGGCGGTTGTTCAGTTTGCGGTTTCAACCATCCCAATGCCAACCGAAACCGACAAAATCCGACCAAACGTGGTCAACTTGTTTGGTTTAGTGTCTAGTTTTACCTACCATTGGGCAGTCATGGCAAGCCTTAAAGTGTACACGGAATTTTCTTGGAGTAGAGCTTTGAACTTGTTATACTTCTAGTACTGTGGGTATGAGTTTTAATACATTTGAACTTTCCACCAGATGGGCTTTACTTGATCGAGGTAGATCGAGTTTTACGGCCCGGTGGGTATTGGATTCTCTCCGGGCCGCCTATTAACTGGCAAACACACTGGAGAGGGTGGAACAGGACGAGGGCTGATTTGAAGGAAGAGCAAGATCAAATTGAGAGTATTGCAAAAAGTTTGTGCTGGAAAAAAGTGGTTCAGAAAGGAGATCTTTCCATTTGGCAGAAGCCTACTAATCATGTGCACTGCAAAGTCACTAGGAAGGTTTTTAAGAAACCACTATTCTGCCAGGGACAAGATCCTGACACTGCATGGTAATGTACTAATGTTTTTCTAAAACAAATCTTCTTTAGTCATGGAGCAGACCACATGACCAGGTTCTTGTCGTTAGACCAACTACATTCTTGTCCTGTCAAAGATGAGTCGAGAAGAACTTCGGGCCGGGCACCCATGTTCCCTTAGTGTCAAGGGATTCAGACTTCAGACATCCTTAATCCTAAATGTCACCAATACAATTACCAAACATCACAACTCACAAGTTTTTCGAACTGTGTTGGCTATTGATCATATAAACAATTGATTTTCAAATATTTTGTTCAATGGGTAATTAAGTAGAAATGTTTAAGGTTTTTTTCAATGTTCATTTATACATTTTAAAGAAACTCTAGTGTATATATATCACCAGGTACACCAAGATGGAAGCTTGTTTGAGTCCCCTACCTGAAGTGTCCAATGTTAAAGAAATCGCGGGTGGGGACTTAGCTAAATGGCCTGAAAGATTGACTGCAACACCTCCAAGGATCAGTAGCAGAAGTGTTGAAGGAATAACTGGAGAAGCCTTCAACAAAGACACACTGCTATGGAAGAAGAGAGTTGAACATTACAAGGGTGTGGATTTTCAGTTGGCAGAGCAGGGAAGGTATCGAAACGTCCTCGATATGAATGCTCAGTTGGGAGGATTTGCTGCTGCACTCATCAATGATCCGGTGTGGGTGATGAACGTTGTCCCCGTTGAGGCGAATGTTAATACTCTTGGCGTTATATTCGAACGGGGTCTGATCGGGACTTACCACAATTGGTACCTCTTTTAAGGATTTTGTTCAAAAAACTGAATGAGAATGTTGCAAATTAACTGAACTAAATTTTCTTTAGGTGTGAAGCCATGTCAACTTATCCGAGAACCTATGACTTCATTCATGCAGATGGCATTTTCTCTCTTTACAAAAACAGGTATACTGTTGAAGCCTATCCTTAGCAGCAACATTTAAGATCTTAATCTATTCATCTAAGTTGATCTTTTAGGATAGAACTTTAAAGTCTTAATATATACATATATTAACACAACACAATAAAAAGTACTGTCTAGCTTCTAAGTGACATATAAATGTTATGCATTTTGACAGATGCGAGATTGAAAATATTTTGCTGGAGATGGATAGGATATTGCGGCCACAAGGAAGTGTGATCATCCGAGATGACGTGGATGTAATGGCGAGCGTTAAGAGCATAGCTGACGGGCTTCGATGGGAAAACCAAATGGCCGATCATGAAGACAGCCCTCATGTGAGGGAGAAGATTCTGATTGCAACCAAACAATATTGGACAGCCCCTTCTTCAGACAATTATGAACCAGAGTCAAATGCAAGTTCATAGTCTCTCGATATCATTTCACTATATTTTTTCTGTTCATAATTTTTGATATTTTTTACTTTTAATTGACCAATGGGTTTCAGCTTCATAATCAATTGTGTTTTTTTGTCAATTTTACAAGCTGTAAGTTATTCATTTCCTTTTGCAAGAGCATATTCATTAGAATAAAAACGCGAAAACTTTATCCTAAATGTGACTGTATGGTTACTTAAGTAAGATTGTAAGACTTCCATATTTTTATTCCTAAAACATCTATTTAGGATGATTTCACTTAGATTTGTTTCAGTCTCAGACCATGCCAAATCAACATGAACTTAGACAAACTAATTAAGAGAGAGACATGGTATATAAAGTATTATTTGGATGTTGTCTTAGCATGGAAATAATTTCCATCCTATCACTATCCTTGTAAGCTCTTTGGAAAACGGCACATCCTGATTTTTCAAATAATATTTTACCAAATTTGTCGCCTTATCAATCCTACAATCCTCTCTCCCCTCCGCCATAGTTGATCTCCTCCTCTCTTGATTCACTACCTGCTAGGCCTCACAATATCACCCGCACCAGCGGATACCCGATTAACCCGAATCGCAAATATGGACGAAAATCTGAAAAATTATGGATGAAAATGGATGATGGTTGGATTGAAAGATGGGTTGGATCGGGCGTAGATGAACATTCATCCAACCCATCACCCGACCCGTCACCCGCTCCATCCACTCACCCGCTAACCCGCATATAAATGCATATATAATAATTAATATTAATATATTACTATATATGTATTTGTTAATGGAAAAAGACACATATCTATGAATTGGTGAAATAAAGGCAATTGAATAGTTTCAAGAAATGACATTTGAACTACATATATAGTTTTGTGCGGATGCAGAAATGTAGAATTTGAAAGTTTGAAGAAGTTTTATGCATGTCTATTTTGTTTGACAATCAGTTCCTTCTATATTAGCAGTGAATCAGCGATTGTAAAATACTTAATTGTTCAAGTTTTGAAAGACGGGGTAAAAGGGTGCTATTTTTTTCTAGCCTTCGATTAATGTCGCGCTTACAGTTTTCATTCTTTTGAAGGCTTTACTTCCTAATGGGAAGATGACTTATTTTATAGAGTTTGGGACTTTGCGGAAAGAGGATTGCTTCTCTCCTGCCGTTGTGTCACCACGAAACCAACTCAGCAACTCCTTGTTATGATTAAACATTGTAAAATAAAATATCTATTTATATATCTATTCTATTTATCTATAAGAAAAGAAATAACTCCTCTAAAGACAAGTTTAGCTTTAATGAAGCTAATGTGTCTTTCTACTCACATTTTTCTCCTCTCATTCCTTAATGCTAAGTGGCATTTTTATTTCTAAGCCGTTGCTATTGCTACTCGCTAGGGTTGTAAACGAATCAAATTAGGTCGAATAATGAGATTTTGTATTTGTATTTGTTTAACTTTTTCGAATACGAATTCGAATTCAAATATGAAATGAATATTAATTTCGATTTGTATTTGTATTTGTTTAACAATACGAATAGTTAACGAATCATATACGAATATCGAATCGATTTGAGCATAAGTTCAAATATTAGTCAAATATCACTCTAAAATAACTTTTCTTATACTCCCTAGTTTTTATGTTGTAAATGCATGCTATTACTTAATATGTATTTTTAATTTTTAAATTTAATGGATCAATGCATTTTTAATGGTGCACAGTATGCTAAAGTGACTTAGTTTTATGATTAATAAATATAAATATATTTCAAACTTTTTGAAATAAACACTAACACACACATATTAGAAATTATATTTATAATGTGTGAAATAAGTTAAAAATTGTATATATCAAAATCAAACAACTCTAGTTTTATTCTTCAAATCGAATGCATAATTATTTGTATTGCATTTGAAAGACATTTGAACCAAAAAATTGATTTGTATTCGTATTTATATTCTGATTTATTACAAATGGGTTTGGAATCTGTATGCAAAAGTATATATATGGGCTACATTTTGAGGGTATTGTTATCTTCTAAAAGTTATTATAGTGTTATTACTATTATTATTATTATTATTATTATTAATAATAATATTGATATTAATATTACCATTATCATTAATCGAATATTTGTGATTAATATTCGAATCGAATACATTGATATTCTTATTTATATTTGATAACAACTCGAATCAAATTTAATATTCTTATTTGTATTTGTATTTGAATTTTCCGAATTCAAATCGTCTTATACGAATTCGAATCGCGAATCGAGCATAAATTATTTGATTCGTTTACAACCCTACTACTCGCAAAAAAATAAGAGGTGCTCTCTCTTTTACAAGTTATAAAAAATCCCAATTTTTTTAAGTGTTAAAATTTTTTCATTTTTTCTTCAATGTTTCTAAAAAATATATCAAAATTCATAATTTTTGTGATCTTTTATATGAGATCAATATTGAATATATAAAAATATAATTTATTAACGGCCTCAATAATTATGTTTAAAATTGTTTATATTTATATACTCCCTCCATTTCATAAAATTTGGTCAAAATTGACTTGCACGTAGAATTATAAAATAAAAATTGTGTAGTTGATATTTCTGTAGAGAAATGAGAAATAACTTTAACCACATATTTCTTACTTTAAGTGGAAATGACAATGTTTTTTGAGACGACAAAAACCTGAAAGTTTGCAATATTTTATGGGTCGAACGTAGTATAAGAAAGTAGTAGGTTATTAAAAATAATGTTTTACCCCAATTATTATGCAATGTGTCTATCTACCAATGTTAGAGAGCATTGCTCTACTTATGATACGTGACTTCATCTTTTGCATTTTTTGTTGTTGTCTTTATAAAGAAACGAATTACGAAGATAGAAAATATAAAAGTTTGGCTTACTAAGAAGCTGTTCTCTTCGTATTAATCTTATTACTTATTCTTTATTCTTATTTTATTCAGATCAGCTCAGATCAGAAAAATCCAGATCAGAAAGATTCAGATCAGATCAGATCAGATCAGAAACATTCAGATCAGATCAGAAGCATTCATATCAAATCAGAAGCATTCAGATCAAATCAGAAGCATTCAGATCAGATCAGAAGCATTCAAATCAGATCAGATTAGTTCAGAAATATTCATATCAAATTGGAAGCATTATATTATTATCCATTATATATTACTATTACTATTACTATTATTACTATTATTATTGTTATTTTTTATAATAATAATAATAATTATTATTATTAATATAATTACTATTATTATTACTATTATATAATATTATATACCCCCTCCGTCCCAAAATTAACTTCACAGTCACTATTCAAACGGTCAACTTAAAATACTCTTAATCTTATGTTTTATATTAGTGGCGGATCTAGAAAATTTACTTATTGGGGGCATAAGTAGAGTAGTAGAGAAGAGATTTTTGTTAAGGGCACCAAAGGTTAGACATTAGAATACACTATGCATATACATAGTATAATATAAGATAGTACTAAAGAGTTGAATGTTTATATTAGAACACAACAAGTCAACAAGTAATGGTTATACACAATTATTTGTGCAAGTACTTGTGTATTTACGCTTGCCAAAAATGAACGGGTAAGGAGGAGGAGGCCCCTCTAACCCGGCCCTTCTATGGCTTGAGCCGTGTAATCTCATAGAACTCAAACTTATAATTAATTTCAAGCACAACATTATTCCAAATCATCAATTCGCAAACACATATTTTATGTGTGTAGTATTTTTTTTAATATTATTCAGGTGAGAGATGCATTCATGCCCCCCATAATTATTAGTGAATGATAAAATTAGTTACATGAGATTCTTTATGCAATTTAGACATACTCTCGTTCCAAATATCGGTTAATTAGTCCCAAAATCACTAAAGTTTGGACAATTTTATGAGAAAGCAATGTTTAAATAACAGAACTAATTTAAAATATTAATTATTACATGAAATTTAATAATTAAATTTAAAAGTAGTTTTTATACTCCGTAGTAAATATGATCGAATAAATTAAGTAGACCATTAGAATTTAATTAATGGAATTTGACATTCTAAACTTTAATTATTGGGGGCTACTCAATCTTTTTATTGGGGGCAAGCTATTTTCTAACAATTGTTTGCTTTATCATATATAAGAAATTAGAAACTTTATTGGGGGCACATGCCCCCATTCTCCAAGCAATAGATCCGCCCCTGTTTTATATATCAAAATTTTATCAAATTTACATTTTTTTCTTAGGCTTTGTAGCAGTTTTAATGTAGTTTCTGAATATGTAAATTTTATTTAGTAAAAGTAATCTGAGTATGAACAGGGATCAAGTTGCTTTATCGTCGTTCAAACATTGTAATCCGAAATGGGAAGTTAATTTTGGGACGGAGGTAGTATTACTGTTATGTTTTACGGAGTAATTTTTGGTATTTATTTTTTAATAAATGCTAAAATTAGTACTTTGTACCAATCCATCTAATCTAAATATATAATACTGTCACCATTTGAGAAGAATGAATTAAAGTACACTTCAACTATCGTCACTCATCTTTGCGTACAACAATCGAAAGATGTTTCACTGTACTGAAGTCACGATGGTGGATACAACATAGGATGCCGTTAATGGAAATTCAATATCAACTTGCGATTATTAAAAAGGTTATTAATATCTCTACTACTACTACTACTACCAGCGGCGGACCCAGGGGGGCGAGCCGGTGCCGGCGCTCCCCCTTCGCTGGAGTAGTCTAGGTATATATATATGTATAGTTTTCCGGCGCCCCTGCTCACCTGCCGCAGTTTCATTACCAGCACCCTTCCCCCTTCGCCGGAGAGCCGCTGAGCCGGACTGCCGGAGACTCGGAGTCAGAGAGGCGGAGACTCCGGAGAGCTCTGTGCCTCTGTAATTTTGTGGGCTAGCTAATCGTCGTTGCCGGCTGGAGGATAGGGAAAAAGGGAGTTGAAAAAAATCAGACCTTTAAAAATTTGGGTCTATGCTGTGAAAAAAAAATTAAAGGCCTATCGGGCCAAGGTAGGCCCAATGACCAGCACTCCAGCAGCCTGCAGCCCAAAGTCCCAAACCAAATTAGTGAATAACCAATAGCCAATTAGAATTTAGAGGTAATCCAAAAGCTTCACCCAGCTTTCCGTCTTCCATCCCTGCGCGCAGCTCAACTAACCAACGAAGTGACGAACCAAGCAGTGAAGCAAGTCAGCAACCATCGCACCATCGCTTCAGTAGAAAGAGTCTTCTCTGCTATGAAAATTATCAAG